TGATATCGGCATTCATTCTTGCAGAGAATACATTGATGTGTGTCATTTCTTTTTTTCCTCTAAATTTGACGCATGTGAATGTTTTCTTGTTGGTAAAGCAAAACAACCTTTATGGTTTTCCTTAATCATGATCTGTTAATAACTCATACCTCATTAGGTCACAAAATTATACTATTTAACGTGTTCTTCTATAAATGCGAATGCTTCGTCACGAGGAATAAATAGTTTCAGTCACGTCTGAGCGTTATGAAAGGCAGAATGCTTCTCAGAAATACATCTCTTACAAAGGATTTCAACATACAGGTCGAAACACGGTGATGGTTGAATTTAAAGATGAAGTCAAACTAAATGAATAGTTTTTAGTATTGTAGGAAACAAACATACGAAATCGAGAATGTCATTGCTTTTATGAATTGTTAATCGTCAATTTGAGGGTCGGGAGAAATACATGTAGCCTGCATGAAATATATATTTAATACGCAGGATAAAATGAAAGTTGTATACAATGAAATAATGGTCACCTAGATACTATTATTTTAACATTTTAAATATGATGCTAACTAAATGCATCATATTTATCCAGGAAATTAGTACAATTTTCCACAATAATTCATTTTCTTCTGTACATTTAGAGTACCACATCAGTTGTTCCAGTTTTTAATTGTTTCGCAAAAACGACAATTTGGAATACTTGCTGAAATTAATATACTCGTACGCGTAGAGTGTGGATTTAAACAGGGCATAATTCAACTCATAAAGAAGAATATTTTTCTTTTTCTGACTCGCAAAATATCTTCATGACATTAACACTAGAAGTAACAAGAAATAAAAAGTCCTGTGCATTATCATGTGGGGAAGGGGAAAGGATCCAGAGATTGAAATGAATAGACCCGACATTTTTATCCACAGCCACACAATAACTTAAATTAGCACATGGAATAAACACTACAACAAAAACACTTTGCTGTATGTACAGGAAGCAGGAAGTTCAGTGAGACAACAATAGTTTCACAGACATAAATTCCACACTTTATTTAAAGAAACTTCCACAAATAAAAATATAGTCGACTCCTGTAACAGTTAACTTCTGGGTACTAACACGTTTCGTTCAATATATCAGAGGTTTACTAAATATAATGATTTCAAAATTACATAGAATTTCTCCACAATGATTGATTTTATTAATAAAGAGATACAGCAAAATTCATTTACGGCACGAACTGAAAATTTCAGAGTCTTTATTTGTCCTTAAAAAATAATTTCTTTTAAGTATTTGCTTAGTAAATTTTTCATTAGTAATTTCTGTAGATTCTTCTCCAGAGTTCGTGATCTATCCATACACGATTCTGTATCAAATTGCAGCCTTGACACATTTCAATGCCTCTTACACCGTCTCACTCTCCAAAGTCTCTTTACCTCGCCAAATAACAGGAGAGATCTAATTTATTTCCAGAACTTATTTCCTACGTGCACTGCACCCGAGGTTTAGGGTCAATATAACCTGATCTTCTTATGCTTATTTGTAATGTAAGTGACTGAAGTTCAGTATAACCGAGGGTGTACTATATCCGAGATCAATATAACCGAATAGGCCTGAATATACAAAGAGACCTGCTGGTCTAAATAAACAAGTCTTGGTAGCGTGCGCATTGAATATTCTGCGGCTGTCACTGCGGCTCTAGGAGACCACTCTTTGACCATTCCAGGAGGGAAGAAAGGGCTGTGAAGGCATCACCTGCGCTCTGACGGTACTCCAGCTGGGATAAGCTCTTGATTGACAATAGGACACGCATTGTATTTGTAGTGTCCTTTGCTATACTTAATCAAAAAATTTGGAGCGATATTTGAACAAATTTTGAAAATGCTGAGACATCAAGAAACGTACTCTGATCATGAAGATATCCGTTCAAAATCGCAGAGTTTGAGTTTATTCAGATCAATTAAAAATGCTTTTCTGAACGTTTTAAGTGCTGGTGTTGACCACAGACAGACCGACGGATGTTTTACTGCGAAGCAATATTTCAGTATTTAGCACGTATAGAACATCTAATATGACTACACAAGGTGTTACTCGTAAAGGAAGCAATTCATATCATACAGGAACAAGATTTATCCATTTTATTGATATAAGAAACTCACTTTTAAGATTTTCTGTCGAAAAATTTCCAACTGCCTTGCAGAATTAGAATAACCTTTGTCCTTTACTATGTAAGTACGAAGTGGTCGAGGACGTAGAAAGAGCCAATTTGGAAGGAAACAGAACTAAAACTTCGCGTATTTTCACAAGAAAATAGACAAAATACTCAAATTTTCGAAAAATTGTACCAGACCTTATTTTAAAATTTATCTTTAAGGCACAGATTTCAATAAGGGAGAAATCTCTATCTTTAATATTTTAGTTGTACGAAGTCTCCGAAAATTTTTGAGCTTTTACAATGTTCGAAAAACCACGGGTTTCAACGAATATGAGACCTACCTCAGTTTCTTAAAAGTCCTTCACATTATTGCAATTTTCTTCCAAAAATATGGCGTCGTATTTAAGAAAATGGCGTTTAAGGGGCGACTGTAAATTGAAAATTTGTATCTCGTCTTTACAGACTTTTTTGAGCTTTTGAGAAACTTCCTTAGAAGTCATTTAAAGCACTTTAACTCAGAAATACAATGGTATTTACAAATTTTTGGAAGTATGCATATTCAAGTCTGAGTTAATGGTGAGAGGTGTTTCAAAAAAATTACGTACTGAAAAACATTCTTTAAAATTTAGGAGTACTTTAAGAACCAGAAATATTATTAAATGTCAAATAATGAGGAAATTATAAAGCATAAAATTGTGATAAAATGACGATAGGAGAAAATAAATCTGAATAATATTTTAAGGATAGTGACCATGAATTTAATTAGATTAAAATAAATGTGTATTAAACGTAACATAATGTTTTATTCTATACTTTATAAAGAACAATTTTTACACTCTGTTTTAGAATATTGAGTTGGTTTTCTTCGCACGATTCAGCGAATTTTTACAAATAACAAAATGTCATTTTTAAGCGTTGCAATAGTATTTTAAAATAAATAAGAAACACTTCGATATTTATCATTGGGGCGCGCTTGAGCTTAACGGGTTTCATCTTCAAGGGCGTAGACGTGGCAGTTTATTCACGGGTGTGTTGCAGGCCCAAAACAAAAATGCTCGGAGTGCACGGGGATTTCAAAATTGCAGGACCACATGCAGGGCTAAAATAAAAACAAAAGACGACTTATAGTAATCGGTTATACGTAAACTCTTTTAGTGATATGACTGGAAAATATTCCAAATTAATTTATTAAACACACATATAGAGAAAATGAAAGAAAAACTGGTTGTATAACAAACCATTCACATTGGTGGTACTTTGAGTCATTTAGTCACTGATAGTGTTTTACTTTGTTGCTCAGATGAAAATTTGATTCACAGTATTTAACAGGTCACAGTTTTTGCCTGAATTTAATGCTCCAAGTTTACAAATATATGTAGTGTTACTGAAGCAGAGTAATGCTATTTACAATACATTCGAAAGCATTACGGACGCATCAACGACAAAAGTAATAGTAGAAAACTAAATATATGCAAGTGAATGTTCAGTTTCTAAGATAAAGTAGTATTCCCTGCATATCAAAGCAAGTACATGTCTTATGAGCAAATCAGTCTGCTTTGCTTGAAGGGGAGGGTGCGAAAAGGATTTCGACGTGGACTGCAATTTCAAGACTAACTCTTCATATGTTTTGAACAGAACAAAAAATATGGATTTTTTTGCTTAAAATTTTAAAAAGTAGATTCATAATTCGAATACATCATGTGTAATCGTGTAATTATTTTGAATAAATTGAAAATAAAACCCACAAAAATGGTCCTCTTTAGTTCAGCCACTGTAAGGGTACGGTCACAATGCAGCCGAAATATTGGTCGTTCGCTACCGGACGAGTGCGATCGAAATCGGACGAAACATACAAATAACACCCGAATGTTGCGCCAGAAATAGTCCAAATATTCCCATGACTCTACAACACTTTTTTACATCTTTGCGAGAAGCACTCTCAAAAACATCTACATGTATTTAGACGGTCATCGTATTGCTTATGGTCTTAATTCTCCAGCCGATTTCAGGAACTGACAAAACTAAAGGAAACATCTTGTGTGCAACAGCCGGTGTTTCCGAATTCCGTTGTTAGAGGTCCTTGCGGTTAATAAAGTCCATTTCTGTTCACCATTCCGTGTTTGAGCGAATTCCTCACATCGAATAAAAACATACGACGTTGATCGAAAAATATTTTACCAGAATCTGCTGCATTGTGACCGCTGCCTCAGAGTAGCGAAATTTGATCGGTGTGATTACTGAATGTGATTTAAAGATCCACAATTCCTCTCTCAATGATTACGAAATATGACTAAATGGTCTACAATTCCTCGCGCGGTGATTAATGTATGTCATTTAATTGTACACAATTCCTCACGCAATTATTACTGAATGTGATTAAATGGTACACAATTCTTCTCATGATGATTACTGAATGTGATTTAATCGTATACAATTCCTCTCGTGGTGATTACTGAATGTGATTTAATTGTACACAATTCCTCTCGTGATGATTACCAAATGTGATTTAATCGCATGCAATTCCTCTCGCGGAGATTAGTGAATGTGATTTAATTGTACACAATTCTTCTCACAATGATTACTGAATCTGATTTAATGGTACACAATTCCTCTCGCGATGATATCTGAATGTGACCGAATGATCCACAATTCCTCACGCAATGATTTCTAAATGTGAATAAATGATCTACAATTCCTCAAGCAAAGATAACTGAATGTGATTCAATGGTACACAATTCCCCGCGCAATGATTACTGTATATGATTTAATTGTATACAATTCCTGTCGCGGTGATTAGTGAACGTGACTGAATGGTAGTACACAGCTCCTCTCGCGAGCGCGCCACCTGCCTGCAGGGCGGGCAACTTCCGCGCCGCCTGCCGGCCTGCTCCTCGAACGTGTCCAGCTGGAAGGCCGTGCGACAGACGCGCCCGCGGCGCGCCGCCACCTCGGCGACGAGGCCGGCGGCGCAGGCGGCCAGGCCGGAGGCGACGCACAGCCAGAAGCAGGCGCCGTAGCGCAGAGCGAGGCCGCGCGGCGGCACCAGCGCATGCGCAGACGGGTGCAGCTGCTGCTGCAGCGCGTGGTAGAGCACGGGGGCCGCCAGCAGCGAGACGCCCAGGTGGCGCAGCGCGGGCCCCGCGCGGGCCGGCAGCGCCGCCAGCATCACGGCCGCCCACGCCCACAGCGCCGCCGACGCGTCCAGCGCGCAACTCGCCCAGCGGCCCGCCCTGAGGGCCGGACCAAAATCAGCACCGCCCTTTCCACACAGCTCGATTCGTTAGAAGTGGTTGTGTTACATTTGGACAAGTTGTGATTACGTACGCTTGCGAAGCTGGAGCTTGTATTGTCTAGGCCAGGGTTGTCCAACTGCCAGCCCGGCGTACTATTTATTCTGGTTGTTTAACAAAAATGAAGTGCCCTGCATCCATTTTGAGCGAGAACATAACCTACCTACCGACGCGCTTTGTCGGACGCAAAACACACACTTAATGGTAAAAATAGGTTCATGTTTAGATGTAAGCATGTTTTTTCTAGTAAATTCCAAAATTAAAAACCATTTCATGTGTTGCACTGAATCATGAAAGCTACAACCTGATATCACGAATGCTTTTGTGCCCCCCTCCCTTGTTTCAGAACAGCTGGAGAAAACGAGATGAACGACACGGGAAAGTCTGGATAGCTGGAGAAATGAAAATATGGCTCGCAAATCTTATTTACGGTGGCCTTTAAATCCTTGCACGTTGAACCCACCTGGTCTCCGTAAACAGCCGCATGTCTGTCGCACTACTTTTCGAAGAACTGTCGTACTACTTCCCGTGCTGCTGTACGTTCTGAAGACCACAACATATTACCCGAAACGTCAACCACTACGACAGGAATGCGACTCGTCCCGGGTAGCGTAGACAATTTGACAGGTTGCGTTAAATCTGGACAGGGTGCGTTAAAGCTGGGTAACTTTAGTTAATCCACTAGTGTGTTCAGTTAATTTTATTGTTAGTTCTTTCAGTTTTGTTTTCTCCATTGGTGACTAATAATGTAATTTACATTTTTTTATATATCCATTTATTTGATAGTGTGTCCTTCGTTACTTTCATTTTTTCATTTATTTACCATCTAACTCAATAATAAATAATTTCCACTATACTTTACTGAAGTTTTCGCGCAAATTCAGACTGATTTTGTTGTTACTTGTAGTTGAGTGTACGCACCAACACACGCAGAATACCCACAATGCGTTTCTTTGTTTTCCTTAGTATTTTCCATGTCTAACTTGGTTTAGCATGATTAATTCGTTATTTTCTTGTTTCATCTGCAGAGCTTTCAAGTAGTTATTTTTAAAATTACGACTAATAATCCCTTTCTAATATGGTTTTTCTGTTATTAATACTTTGATGTCACTCACTGCAACCATTACACATTTTTTGTTGTTAATATAAGGTCACATCAACTATGTCATTTGCGACCACTTTAATGATTGTAACGTTAGGGTATCTGTAAGAGTCCACAGTGAAAACAATTATTCTTTCACCGGAATAAGATAAAATTTATAACCATTCATTTACTCTTAGCATATTTTAAATATGCCACTATTGTGCAAGTTAGTTTAATAGTCCAACGCTTTGCTTGCTAATAGATGGACGTCAGTTCTACCTTTGGCGATAGTACCACCCCACTCCCACACTTCTACAGCGCATTTCAAAGCCCCTGATGACCGCCTCAACTCTCGTGCGAACACGATGCAGCACTAATGAAGGCGTTCCACTGTGTACTGCTCTCGGTGGATTAGTGAGTTTTTTGCTCACGTACTTCATTTTCGTTCAGTTTGCTCACTTGTTTGCTTAGAATACAGTTTTAATTTAAAAGTTTGCTCATTAGAGTGTTAAATTACTAAAGCACTAATGTTTTAAATATTTGTAGCTTACTATTGACAAAAAAGTTTAAGTTAGTAACCCATTTATTTGTATTTTACTTTCATATTTACCTAAATTTTTCTCCATAATTTTTTTACTCAATTATGGCCTAGTTTACTTATTAAAGTTGTAGAGTTTCAAAACTGGCACAGAATTCTTCAAAAATGAAAAATATTAAAAAAGGTAGCATTGTATATTGATCTATGAATCATTTCAGAACTTGATAGAGAAGGTCTCTTCATATTGTTAAAAGCTTCGATGATTCACTACATTTAAACTACTTGATTCATAATTACGTATTTCGTAAACTGCTAGTCCCTTTAGCACTACTATGCGGCTGCGGTAATTAAATATCATAAACTTTCCGCGAGTAGTAACCAACAACTAGATAATTTTCCGTTTTTATTATTTCTCTTCAAGTCGGGAGGATTCCAACTTCACTGGAACGGACAGGAGCGCAAAGAAGCCAAGATCTACTTCTACCCGGGGAACCCACCCGTACAAGCCGTGAAAGTCAACAGTTTCACGCTGGGCTCCCCAGAGATAGCGGCTGCGGGCACTTCGATAGTCCGACGCTGATGAAAACGCCAGGAGCCCTATCGGAGACGTAAGTTTTTCGCAGATCTCTTAGCGAAGCGCACTAGCGGGGGAAGGGGGCGAACTTCGGTTTCTTCGCTGTCGAAATCTCTTCGGAGCTTCAACTCGCAACAAGTTTGGAATGGGAATGGGCTAGGAGGAATTTAGGAGGAGACAGAGGAATTGTGGCGAGAGCAAGGAAATGCGGGACGCGAGAAGAAATAAAACGCAATGACGGGTAAAGAAGGAAGGTAATTGAGTACGCGGTGAGATGAAGCTGTGGAGTTGACTAGGAGAAAATAAAAGCTGCTAGAAATTGATCAGTAGCAAACTTCATTAACGGTTGTACCAAAATGTTTAGAATAATCAAGTTTAACGGAGGAGAGGAGGAGAATGGACTGAGGAGAGACAGAGGAGAATGGAAAAGACAAAACTAGAAACCTTTGAAAAATATTAAAATTTAGAAAACAGGATCCTCAATTATTCCAATATATAAAGGATAAGAAGATAAAACGGTACAACGATTAAGAGGCATATGATATAGTAGAGGGAGATAAGAGAAATTGGTAAGTTAAGAGGGAAGATCAAATGAAGCGGGGGGGACAGAAGAGAAAGGAGGAAATGTATCATACAGAGTCGAGATTTTTCTAAAATGTTGAAGTGGAATATTCGCAAAATATAAATAAATAAACGAGAGATAGGGGAAAAATGGGAATGACAAGAAGGGACGTGAAAGTGCAGAAAAGTAAGAGGTAAAGAAGTGGTGGAATACTGACACATACAACGCATGGTATGAGAAAGGCCAAATACACGGAAGTTGTTCCGGAGGAGTTAGAAATATGTGTCATTACAATCTTATCAGGATATGTGCAGTTTTATTAGACCTGTATCAATATGCCCAGATGGTACACGACTACGCCGATGCTAGTCAAAAACCAGAGACATCGGCGGGCGAGGGCGAGGGCGAGGGCGAGGGTTAGGGCGCGGGCGCGGGCGCGGGCGCGGACGGCGGAGAAGAGGCGAGGACCAGAGTGTGTGCGGGACAGAGGAGCGAGGGGCAGAGAGGCGAGGGCAGAGTGGCGGGGCAGAGTGGCGAGGGGCAGGAGTGCGAGGGCAAGGGGCGGAGGGCAGAAGTGGCGAGGGGCCAGAGTGGCGAGGGGCAGAGAGGCGAGGGGCAGAGAGCGAGGGCAGAGAGGCGAGGGGCAGAGAGGCGGGGCAGGGGGAGGGGCAGAGTCGGCGAGGGCAGAGGGCGAGGGCAGAAGGCGAGCGGGCAGAGAGGCGAGGGGCAAGAGAGCGAGGGGCAGAGAGGCGAGGGCGAGTGGACGAGTGGCGAGGGAAGAGTGCGAGGGCAGAGTGGCGAGGGGCAGAGTTGCGCGAGGGGCAGAGACGGCGAGGGGCAGAGAGGTGAGGGGCAGAGAGGCGAGGGGCAGAGAGGCGAGGGGCAGAGAGGCGAGGGGAAAGAGTGGTGACTGGTTGGTAGGTGAAAAAGCGTGGTGGTGAGGGAGGTAAGGAAGTGGAGACGCCTCCGACGGAAGCGGCGGAGGGAGAGAAGGTCACAGGTGGGAGCGAGCTGACAGGCGTCGCGGGAGGGGGGAAGTGTGTAGCGCGCGAACTGTATCGCGAGCGCCCGCCCACACTAATTGGACAAGGTTTCGGCGCTTCGCTTCCCACCGCCCCGCCCGCGCTCTCACCTCGCGCCTGCAACACGCGTTCGATGGCGCCACGGAAGCAGCGCGCCCGCGCTCATCGCGCCTCCAACGAGGCATCATTGCACCTAGCCAAACACTCGAGTATTCTGGGGAGGATTTCGTAAAGGAAATTTCATGCGAGAATACGGGCGACAAAGAACGTGCTATTTTAGTACCTCTAGTTTTCGTCTAAAATGGTTCTTTCTACACCCTCGCCTGATCCGTAGTTAACTAGTATTGGAAAATTATTGTAATTCTGCAATGCAGTTGGAAATCTATCGACAGAAAATCTCAAGTTGTGGCATTTGTATATCAATAAAATGGATGAATCTCATTCCTGTATGCTATGCATTGCTTGCTTTATGAGTAACACCTTGGGTAGTCAAATTACATGTTCTGTACGTGATAAATACGGAAAAATTACTTCACTGCAAAATGTGCATCTGTCTGTAAGTGGTCAACAGCAGAACTTGTTTTAGTTCTTGGAAGGTCAGGTCCATTACGTTTTTAGGCAACCATTAACAAAATGCCTAGTTTTTATTTAAAACAACTGTAGTCACTTGTTTAATTTTTTTCATCAATCAAGGGGCGAAGGTTAGTGGCATTCATTACCAGAATCTAATTAAAAATAAAATGATACAACTTAATATAATATTAAGGTATAGACAATGTTATTATATAAATTATATCATTAATACCTATATATGTATATTATTTTTTAAAGATGAAATGATTATGAAAACAGTGTAAGAAGTACAATTGGCTAATACAAATTTATTTTGTTTATGTGTGCCTCAAAAATTGATCTTCCATGAATTAACATATAACAAAATGTCTTAATAACTTTCCAGTTATTTTATTGATTTTCAATCTTCGTGAAGATAATAAAATCCTTGTTGTAGCAATTTACAATCAGCTAAAGGTTTAGTATTTCTATTGTCGACATTGATTTACTGGTTTTAAGAGCAGGGGAATTTTGAAACGCTTGAAAGCTTCTGAGCTGCAATAAAAATAATATTGTAACTGTTTCATTTACACAATTTTTTATTACCGATATGTAATGTTTCGACTTTCTATGTTCGTTAGAATAATCGCTTTTCTTGTGCTCACGAGAAACAGCGGCGAGGGAGCTGAGTACAGCGTTTCGACGCGGTGAGGTGCCACGCCATCGTCCGGCCTTCAGCTGACGACCACCCATGAAGCAATCCCAGCCGAGGAAGAACGACGACTTCTTGCAACGCCTGCAGTCCGACGCGCAATTGGGCAACAGCAATTAAACTACACTGTAACTTTGCGGCGTCCGAGAGCCTATTGAACTCCTTTTATGTGCTAATAAATGTGATCGGACTACATTCCGTGATGTAATTTCAAAATCAGGTAATCCCCTTTGCGTTGCCCTAGCTAAGCAACCTTTTGTAAATAAAGCCGCCCTGATTCGAGCTCACCTCAAATCTGTGTGGGATTGGGTCCGTGGAACTATCCAGGAAAATTTCAATCCTTGCCTGGAGCCGCCACAGGGAGGCTGTCGAAGGTAGAAGTCACTAGGAAAGCTGTTCCCGAAGCCTTCTGACGAAAGCCGATGACTACATTTGGCCCCGAATCGGGTTACGAACCCCAACATGGTCACAATAAATTACAACAGCTTGTTTAAATATCTACTTCACCTTATTATACGATTCGTCAGAATTTCAACCGAACAATATTCGTAGAATCTGATTGGTACTGTTCTTATATTGAAAAAATATAAAACATGTAAGTTTCTAAATTATAATTTTTGGACAGGGGAAACAAACTTAAAAATAATTTATCGCAAAAATATTTCAAAAATAGACTTAGAATTGTAGAAATTTGTTGAAAGCTTCATAAATTTTCATTTGTTTCACCACTGTTTTCATTATAGTGATATAAAAGTACGAAAAATGTTTTTCTTATTTAATGCAAGTCAAGGTTTCAATTTCTTCTTACACAGAACACAATGTAAATTTCACAAAAAAAAGTTTTTAATATGACATTGGACGGCACCATGACCAACTACATAACTATAAAAACATTAATAACTATGAAACAATCAAAGATTACGGATAATAACATAATTATATCTGGCAAACAAATCGAGTTCTCTGAAACTTTTCATATGATTTTCTCGTTTCTTTTACCACCTAATTTCACAATTTCTCCACCAATCCATTCACCATTTTCACTTATATCCCATCATTATCACTAATATCTAATCATTATCACTAGTATCTACTCATTGTTTTCAAACATGGGACTAAATTATCATAAGTTGATGTGATAAACCCCAATAAAAAACCGAAACATGAATCAAGCAAAGAATAGCGCGTACCTGCGCAGGAAGAGGCCGCTGGGGCCCGCGAGGGTGCTGGCAGCCGTCTGCAGCGGCGGCAGCAGCGCAGCCTGCAGTGCCACCTCCTGCTCCTCCAGGTCCAGGTGCTCGTTGTAGTACTCGAAGGCGCGGCCCTCGGCGCGACACAGCAGCGTCACGTTGGCACCCGCCAGGCCCACGCCCAGCCCTGCGCCCACCCACCGCACTCACTCAACGCCGCCACTAACCCTCACTCAACGCCGCCAACAAGTGGCACTGACGCTTTATCGTGTAATTACAATTCTATGAAACGCAAGTTTTTAACTTTATAATATTTTATCAATAAATAAAAAGAACACCTCTAATCATTGCAATTGGGTTTGGGCTGTATACGCAGAACAAATAAGTTAATACCAAAATAATTACAATGAAAAAGACAAGAGGCTTTTCTTTTGTAGGTATACATAAATATTTGACAGTTAAATTTAGGCATAATTATCTCTTTTCCGAGACATGAGGTGAATTAATTGTAATCAATTATTTATTTTAATATAATAATCTGCTTATATTCGCCATTATGAATTTTTACGTGCAATTGATAACAATGTATACCAAGAATAAAAACAACCTGAACTTTTTTTATTTTAATAGTGTGAAATTTATTTCTACTGAAGAAATTGCAAATTAGCGTATATTAATATGAAGACCACTGAGCATTTCCCCAAACATTACCTTGGATACCGAAAAATGCTTTCTTTTCTCCCTTCTTTCTCTTCTTACGATTTCTCCTAATTTCTATTAAATATTAGCTAGCTTTGTGTTTTGTCTTCATTAAAAATATTAAACACGAAATCACAATGCTACTAAATCTCACGGGTTTATATTTCTAATACAATTAAAAGTGTGAACATTCTCCACTTTGTACGACATTCCCGATCCCTTATTCAAGTAATTGAGACATTTTTTAAATATTACAAAAGTATTAGAACAAAAAACATGCAAATTCCTCTAGAGCAATTAAACCTTACGCTATTTATTGACAATAGTAAATCAAAAGGGTTCATAAACGTTCAATGCATATTGTAAAGGTCAGTGTACTTGACAGGTATCTGAATTCTTACAAACTTAAGTTTGACTTCTCGTTTAACAAAAATCCACCACATGCGTATCTACTGACTTCTCCCGCACCATTACGAGGGAGGTACAGACTCACAGAGGGAACAGTCACGCAGCGGCGCACCGGGCCAGTAGCTCAGCGCCACCCCACGCAGGCGCGCCCCGCCCACCTGCCACTCGGGGATGAGGCGCGCGTAGCCTTGCGCCAGCGCCGTCCCCAGCATCAGCGCCCCCTGCGCCCACAACACACACACGCGGCATGAGAACCAAGGCACCCATACACCCCCACCCATACACCCACATACACCCACACACACACATCACATGACAGTCTGGACTTCCAGACCAGCCACTAGACCCCACTCCCAGTCATTAGACCCCCCAGAGACCACTTCATTGGTCGCTGCATCCTAGGCGCAGTTGCCACCGCTTCGGACATGTTGCGACCTTCCTCAGGACCAAGCGCGGGGGGTGTCTGCGAACGAGTTGTGCGAATAGGGTATGGTCTCCCTCCACCCAGTAGCTTGGATTGCCAGTGTCGATCATCTAAGCATGTACTACGAGTAACAGAATATACGAGTATGCGACTGATGTATTAGTGGAATTATAACGTGTAATGAACAAAATGAAGAGAGTTTTACATATTTCAGATTAAAACTTTACACACAGATCCATCTTCAGGATTCAAGAATCATTGTATACAATAATCAAACAAAATAACTTACAACAGAAACAATATTGCCTACAGAACTATACTTTCTTAGTACCTCCGACTTTCAGTGTGATGGCAAAATACCTTCTGGGAATTTTCAAATACATTGCAGTGTGCGCAACCCAAAATATCTCTGGGTCACAACATACATCTAATCTAACTAACAAGTTTACTATCTTGTTTCAATCTAAAAATAACGCATAATTATAGTTATTTAAGAAACTCAAAAAATGTTAGCGATGCGTCGTTTTCGAATAGCGGAGCATGAATATGAAAAAAAGATTTTTTAAATCTATTTAATTAGTTTTCACAATTGATACGTTTGTCTTCTGCCATTACTGGCTAAGTTAAATTATCACAAACATTAGGTTTTTCTCCCCGAAGTTACTTTGAGTTAATAAAGGAGAATGCTAGTCACTTCAGGAAGGCGAAGAATTTTACTCTTGGTTGGTAAGGGACGAAACTGACTATATAATTCTTGACAATTCTAGAGCAAACATGCAAATAAAATTATTCTTTTTAGAGTTTTTGTGGAAAGAATGAATTAAGTTTTCAATTCAATACATATCTAATAATAGCAGGAATTCTCTAGAACCATCGCCACACGATACTATCTCAAAATGTTACCGAATTGCAGAACAACCGTTGCATTGCCACGCTCTTCATTCTCTTTTTTGGAGGTTGGGTATTTGGGAATATCAAGCTCCGAAATAATACAGTGCAAACTGTCATATTATGTGATGTCACACGGAATGTTAAAAACTTCATTGATCAATCAATACGACAAGAATGATATGTATATTACGTCCTGTTGGACTAATGAAAGATATTTGTGGTCCCATTTCGCATGTAATCTATTTCCCATGGGGGTTTTACATCACAATGTTTATTCACATTCTAATTTGTATTGCAATTCCCGGCATTTTCATGCTCAGCCATTGCGGAAAATCACAAAATTACACCGAAAACTGCATTATTAAAGTTAATTCAATATTTATAAACGCAAATTGTGGTACGCTGTACAAAAAATTATATTTTTTATCATTTCGACATTCTCAAGCTTGGAAAATGGCATTAAAATCGAATAGACAAAATTGTGAATATATGAGAATGTTATAGTGTCAGAAGTTACATTACTTGAATTCAAAGAAACAAAAGATCAGTTTGTACTAAACTAAGATATTTAATAATTTTATGAATTTTAAATTTCACAACTGTCAAAATGTGGCAAACAATCGGCTACAAAACGAAAACATAATTTAGATGCCTAGGACACAATGCCTCCGATTTATGAACGATAGTAAAGTGAGGCGAAGATTCCATTATTGCCCTTTCATAAATGAAACCAATTTAACATAGCGTACGATATTTATTCAGGGTTTTCATAAGCAAACGCTACAAAAAACATCCCAGATTCTGTGTTGTCATTCATGAAGTATGGCTGGTGCAGTTTTAACGAAATGATTTGTTTTCGATAAAACTGAGTTTAAAAGGTCCTTCCGCGGGTGAATTTCAAACCTGCTGCCTCGACATGAAACTGGCGTTGGGTCTGGCAACGAAGCTGGGCGAAAGTCGTGTCTTTGCCTTTTCAGTAAAACTGTCGAGTGAGGTAACTATCTTGCCGCGCACTAGGGTATTTTAACAGCACCAAGTGATTTATGCGTACACGTTATGCGGACTAGCTCTAAACTCCCGACCGATCTCCCGGCATCTATGGTAGTGTAGTGCTTGTTCGAGTGTATGTAAGGGGGTGAGAATAGAGCAGGGAAGATGAAGGTGAGATCGCGCGAGGTCCGTGGCCTGTTTTTTAGCATACTGCTCCGGTATTCGCCTGGTGTTGATCGGAAAAACCACGCAAAACTACTGATCAGAGCAGCCGGTCTCTAGAAGGCGACTGAACTCGAACTACCTGACAAGCTAGTGTCGAAAATCTTGTTACTGTCAGGACTGGAACCTAGGAACTCTCGCTCAGAAAGACTGCAGCGTCACCAGTTAATGCTTTAAGCCCTCTCTCTCGTTGCGTCCGCCATGAAAAACCACAAAAAAATAGTAATCCGAGCAGCCCTTTTCTAGAATTATTGTCCAGACATCGCCTGAAATCTCACTAGCAATGTGGAGAGAATATAAAATCCGCCAATTCGGGACCTCCGACCCCTCTACTACAGTCGCTGGCTCTGCGCTGCACTCCGATTGGCTGTGCGTCTCACCAGCGCGAGTGTGGCGCGCCGCCCCTTGAGCACGGGCAGCAGCAGCACCAGCAGCGTGGCGAAGGCGGCCGTCGTCACCAGCAGCGCCACGAACCCGAAGTCCAGGTAGTAGAGCGCTGGCAGGCGGCGCGACGCCCCGTAGTACGCGAAGCCGCCGGCAGTCCGCGCCAGCTGGAATATTTGGCGCAGCATCCTTCGACCTGGAAACGAAGGGAGACACTTGCAATTGTTGTGTGAACGGGAAAATTATCGTTCATTATTGTGAATTTGGCACTTTAGGAGGTAAACCAGATGACTGTGTTCCTAGGATTGGACTTTTATTTTTATTTACTATTCACGCCTGAAAATACCGGAGATCTGTGGCGAGTATAAAGTGACTCATTCACCGTATCTAGTGTAATTGATGTGCCTAGTATTTGAGAATTGTTTCATCACACAGCTACAGAAACACGATTATCTGTCGAGCAGTCGCGTTGGTTGACCGAGTCAACAACTCGCTATTGTCTACTCCAATAATCTAAACGCTCATTGTTGCGTAACCGAAACAGTGTATTTTAACTGTGTTATTAACATTCTCCGCAAGACTTCACAAGAGCGCAAAAACATTGCATTTTTAGATAAGTTTAAATATTTTCAGCGCTGCGAACGTTGGTTGACGGAATCTACCACACGGCCGGTGATGTAAATATAATTTACTTTCTTTGAAATGTTTAGTTGTTTATAAAACACTCACAGACAAAACAATGTTCATGAAAACTAAGAAATTCACATCAAAACATTTTTGCTGTCTCTTAAATCAGAAAAACAAAAATCAAGAGAAACCGCTAAATAAAAGAAAAAACAGTTGTACATCTTCTGAAGAAAATATAATACCGTTACCACCATTAGATGCTGCAAGAGCCCAGTTTTTGTGTTTGCAAAAAGTATAATTCCATTGTTTGCCAAACTTGTATGTATATTAATATAGTTAATATCCCAGAGAAAGATGAGCAACATGTTTCAACAATATTGTCAAGTTGAAAAGTTTATGTACTCCATTCTCCATCACTTGCAATGTTCTGTCCGTATTTTTAAAATAATAAATAGAAAAATATGTAAGCTTTGTGCGCAATATTTTGTAGAAATTGTATACGTAGTAAATCGATGCCTTTGTAATGATCATTAAAAAAATGTATACATGGAAATCGAAGTGACTGAGTCAACCACGCAACCGGCTATGTTCCAGAAATAGACATGACAGCTCTAGGGTTATAGTGGAATGTTGTGTGAATGTGTGTGCGGGACCGGACGGTCATTAGAGAAGCTGTAAAGAGAACATGAAATGGAGAGCGGTACTGACGATATGCATTGGGAAGCGTTCTCCTGCAGTTCTCTTTCGGATCCAATGGATAAAACTTCTCTGTAAACATTTTATTAAATGAAACAATATTATGAAATAATGTTGCTTGCAGAAAGTAAAGTTATAATTTATTGCATTTCAGTGTAAGTGATGCACTTCCTGTCTTGGGAATATGTGACACGATAAAAGCACGAAGGCATTTTAAATATCTCTTTCTCTCACAAAACGTGGTCAAGAATTTAATTGTGTACTCGTTCAAAAAATTGCTTAAGAAATACCTTTCTTGGAAGTAAATGCAAATACAAATGATGTTTTTAAAAACTTATGACTTTTCCACAGAGACTAACCTCGATTATATTTTGCTTTTCTCAGAATAGATTTTCACAATTTCGCAGTATGTTCTTTTTGTAATACGGACTGGCTTATTATGATTAGAAAACAATAGCAGGTAAACTTTATGCGAAATTTCCCCTATTATACGTTTACCATATGAAATGTTTCATCTCTGAAAATGAAAACATAATCCGAAAATAAAAACAGTGTTTGTGTGTAATAAACGTAAAAGCAACGATGAAATGAGGTCTTTGTTTTGTTTTCATCGTTTCAACGCTAAAATTCGTGTTTCTGTGAACACGAACTACTTCGGTTGTTTCTAGTTTTTGTATTGAAAACGTGTGGCAATACTTGTGTGGACAGAAAATTGATGTGGCTTAAAAATATCGCATTCTCTGGTCGATATTATATATAAAATGAAAGAAAGTCTTTTCATAGTAACGCTGAAAACATGAATAAATTAAATAACTATCCCATCAGTAATACATTTATTTTAACACATTTATACGTCTGAATATAACAGGAAGCATTTTTAATCAACAGTTTTTTCAAGAACATTGAAAATAAAATAAGTTATGGTTCTTCTCTGAAAAATATCTACAAGACCACTTAATGAAATAATCAATATCATTATGTAAGCTTGTTCAAGTAATATTATAAATGAGAGGGCTAAAGATGTGATTCTCCAAAGAAAATTATACTACCAAACCAAAAGTGTAATAGCCGAATCCCTGTTAATACAAAACACAAAAGGAAGAACTCAGAAAGTTACAACCGAAAAGTGTAAAACATACGTCTTATAAGGAAAATCAAAAAAACACAAAATTGCTTCATGATCTTCAATATTTATTTATTAATTATGAAATGACGGACCTTTACAAACTCTGAATCAATATCATCTATATTTACTGTAAACAGAAATAAACGTTTTTCAAAATTACATTGCAATGTTTTATATTTACTAGAACTAGGGAAAGGAATTCTGATCTTCACCTTGTCTTAAAACGTAATGCATTATATGTAATTACAAACACTGACAATTCTTTTGTAAACGGAATCGTTTGTATACCTATTACAGTACAATAGATTAATATACACTGAATAATATTTAAATTCAAAGAAACTCGATCTTCAAACACTAAGAGCTGTCTCCAATTTTGCTAATTGTAACTTCATGAAACTGAGACTGCTATTGTGAGAAAACGGCCTTGATCAATCACAAGTAATGACAAAAGAAAAAAATATTTTCATTTTAATATATTAAATTTAGTGTTTTTAGCATAAAACAAGTCAACAACAGCGAGAAATATCGCATCTAGAATCCACTGCCTTTCATTTAAAGCAAAAATCTTGAAAATTGGTTGAATAAAAAAGTTTAAATTATTTTCTAAATGAAAGCCCGATAGTGTTTTAAATATAAAGAGAATCCTTCTTCTATTTTCTCACTTTCACTTAAAAATCTTACTTTACATTAATCGTAATCATTTTTTATGCAGCTATTCACGTATTCGTACAAAACATTTGACATAACCAAAAATTACGAAGTTCTTCCATCAATTTTGTAACTATAATTTAGAAATTAATGTATTTAATATTTATGACACTTTCTCATTCATTACGTTTAACGATAACACTTTCTCAAAGCTCTGCTATTCGCGAAAGTGCACGAAAAAGATGTGATCAAGAAAGACTCCTAACAAAGCATTCGACATAACCAAAAAATTACAAGGTTTTTCCTTTAATTTTGTAAATATAAATTGGAAGTTACAGTATTTTATATTGAAGATACTTTCTCATGCATTACATTTAACGATTATAACATTTCCTCAAGCTTCTGCTATTCGCGAAAATGCTCCAAGAAGATTTGATCATGAAAGACTCCTAAAAACAGCATTCGACATAACCAAAAATTACATGGTTCTTCCATCAATTTTGTAAAAATAATTTAGAAATTCCTGTATTTAATATTTATGACCCTTTCTCACGCATTACACTTAACGATTATAACATTTTCTCAAACTTCTGCTATTGGCGTAAATGCTCGAAGGTTTGAACAAGAACGACTCCGAACCGACGACAGGGAAAACTTGCGGCAGCCTTGCTGAGATCCTCCCGGTCCAACGCCCTGTAGTGCGTCGCCTTAGCGGCTGAGGTCCACAGCGGCCTCCCTAATTGTTCAGTTAAGGATAATGGAGCGTGTTTACCTGCAGCCGCGTGCCTAATACTGGCCTCGCGCGCGAACAGCGCGCCTATCGGCTCCATTAGCTTACTGCTTATTCCCGCAGCGGAGCTGTTGTAACTCAACGGCGGCGTTGCTGGCGGTGAACTACGCCGGGCGGGAGTAACGGCTGGTTGGGTGGGGGAAGTGACGGGGCGTGGGGGGGGGAGCTGATAGGGGGATAGTGTGGTGGGGATGATAAAGGTTCCCTCATGATTGGCGAGGAAGGTCATGGAGAGAACGTGCGAGAGGTGGGAGAGAGACATCAGGGTTGGTGGATGGACTGGCAAGAGAATAATGCGGACTTCGATTTTTTCGGGGCCCTGTATCGCAATTCTCACCGTGGCTTAGTGTTACAGTGGACAGCGTGTATTATATACTTTCTGTTGTTATTGGACAGATTTTGTTAATTATTGTGCATTTTATAACGGCATCATCATCACACAGTGTGTCAGGTAGGCTGCTGTGAGGACATGAGTGTGAAATAGTTTATCGAGAAGTTCAGTACTTACACTACCTCAAAATTACATTAAATTTGTGCAATGTAAATTTAGTACAGATAGCGAGTAATGCGACAGTGGCGGATTCCCTAGTGAAGACCGCAATGAGGCTTTTCCCTGACAAGGTATGTCCGACCACCGGGGCACCTCCCCAGCCAGGACAATTTCTCGACCGGCCTCCCGGCCATGTGCGGTTAAGTAGTGCATGTTAGTGTGTGTGTGTGTGTGTGTATGTGTATGTGTAGGAGGGTGAGGTAAGAGTTGGTAAGGGGGTAAGAGTTGATGGCGGAGGTTGGTGAAGACAAAAGTGGTGGTACAGGGGAGTTGGTGGAGATGTCAGAATGGTGATGTTAGGGAAAGTCTGGTGAATAGGTTTTTGTATTGCTTTCCCAGAAAGGTTTATCAGTTACAGGTCTCTCAGCAAACACCAAGTTTTCCTTTCGTCGCCACTGGTTAATCTCAATATAAATACATATTAAAAACACAACTATCTGATAAGTTTTATATATTTTTTACATTTTAATATTCGATCACCGAGCTCACATCTTTCGTGTAGAGGAAGAGATTATACAGTATTCTGTTGTCCATGAAAGATTCAATATTTTTCTATTAAGTTCGTTGTGCGCGAATGTTTTACTCGGTTGATTAAAATAAAACGTCCTTTGAGCAATTACCAGAAAAATATATATATGGAATATAGGAAAATATGTTTTGGATTTTTTCAGAGTTTTCGGGTAGTTAATAATTCAATAAACACCTCTCAAAAGGCCTCACCTTGCGTATTCTTTTCATTTCTTCGCACATTGGAAT